TATATATACAGTATTGTAAAATACACACATTTAAATGTATTTAAAGCAAGTATTATATACGAAAAAATGTGTTTTGTATATTTTAAATAGATATTAGCAAACACTTATGAATTTTTTATTACAATATTGTTGAATAGACTTACTGATGTATTGCTGGCAATGGGCGGTTTGGTAAACAACACTTGATTCAGTACATGAATTATCCCATTGGAAGCAACCAGGTTCGTAGAAATCAATGTGGCAACCTTCATCTCAGAAACAAGACTATATTTTAACTCATTATGTTCCTAAACCAAATAAAAAATAATGTTTTATTAAACAAGCAAGAATATCACCACTAAGGTTATGATACAGCTTGTTGGAATGACAGTCAAAAATATGAAAATGCAAATCATCAAATTACCAAATAAAATACCAAAATGTAACAATTAAAATAGCTATTTCTAAATGCACAATGTTATTATAATTCTCTATTATTTAAATCCTTACATTAAACATTCGACTTCGATTTTAATTTACATCCTATTACATACATTAATTTACAATGATTTTAAAAATGTGACGTGTTGAAAAATTAAATGCGGTCAAAATAATGTTATTATGACAAGAAACTAACATTGTAATTAGAGGTCAATTACCTGATCTAAAACAACTTCTGCTTGAAAACCCAGCAAGTTAAAGACATAGCCAGCATTGATGAGGTTCTGAGAGTCCAGTTGAATTGGAACAATGAACATCTTCATCAAGTAACGTGCAAACTCCCTATCATTCCTGGCTTCATCTAAAACCTAAAATGAACCATTTATATGTATTGTTATCCAGTAATCTGTGGTGATAATGCTCAAGCATTAGAATTGGCACTACATAAATCTTCAGCAAAGTCGCTGTTCTCGTTCTGGTTGTTGGTTTTTCCTGCACCAGCAGAAAAGTCATTGTTTTTGTTCAGTTTTTTCCCTTTCCACATGATTTTTCTGTCTGGCACTTTGGTTGCTTTCGATGTTTCTTCAAACTTTGACAAGACCAAGACCATGTATCAAAGATGTGCCTATCAAATTGACGTCATTCTACATATTTTAAATGATATTAAACAGGTAACTAAACTTTTATGTTAACACAATTTGTATTTCTTAGAGTGTTTCAATATAGTTTGTTTTGTTAAACAAAAAATTACAGTGAAATGCATAAACAACTTATAACATTACACAAGGTAGATGAACTAAAAATGCATTCACCTCCCCCTCCCCCTATACTTCCCGCCTAAAGAAGAACCCTTGATTCACTGCTGAATGTGGCTGCTATATAAGACTACATTTATGTGGTCCAATGGGGTAATATTGTGCAGTACATACAGCCATTGGTGATGTGTTCAAATGACCTTAACCCTAACCTTTGATCCACTGCTGAATGTGGCTGCTGTATAAGACTACATTTATGTGGTCCAATGGGGTAATATTGTGCAGTACATACAGCCATTGGTGATGTGTTCAAATGACCCTAACCCTAACCCTTGATCCACTGCTGAATGTGGCTGCTATATAAGACTACATTTATGTGGTCCAATGGGGTAATATTGTGCAGTAAATACAGCCATTGGTGATGTGTTCAAATGACCCTAACCCTTGATCCACTGCTGAATGTAGCTGCTATGTAAGACTACATATATATGTGGTCCAATGGGGTAATATTGTGCAGTAAATACAGCAATGGTGATGTGTTCAAATGACCCTAACCCTAAATCCACCGCTGAATGTGGCTGCTATGTAAGACTACATATATATGTGGTCCAATGGCGTAATATTGTGCAATGGTGATGTGTTCAAATGACCGAAACCCTAACCCTTGATCCACCGCTGAATGTGGCTGCTATGTAAGACTACATATATATGTGGTCCAATGGCGTAATATTGGGCAATGGTGATGTGTTCAAATGACCTTAACCCTAACCCTTGATCCACCGCCGAATGTGGCTGCTATGTAAGACTACATATATATGTTGTCCAATGGGGTAATATTGTGTATTGGTGATGTGTTCAAATGACCAAAATTTTGAACTGCATAGTGTACTGGTAAAATGTGATGAACTCTACACGTCCAGCATAATTTTATTTAACATAATTGCTGGCAATCTCAGTCAATGTATCTTACCTGTTGATCCATTTTGTCAAAAGCGCCCTCATTTGGTATGAATAATGTAAAGTAGGAGTTTACACTGCTCAACATGACCCCTAGGTCAGCAGCTTCAAGCAAAACAATACCTGTAGTTAATTGTTGATAGAGACTGCCCTCAGTGTCAGTGTTCAATCTACGCAAATGCTAGAACAAATCAAATTCAAAATGTTCCTTATACAATACTAACTTAAACAAGGAAAATGCACTGCATCAAAAGAAATATATTGCAAAACTATGTTTAAGGCACAAAATAATCATATATACATAAACACAAATGTACAAATCTCATTGAATAAGCAGCACATGGTGGATGCAAGTTGCATTCATGCAGTAAGGTGGAAGGTAGAAGAATGGGCGATCTGCTTCAGTAAACCATTGTATATTAGGTAATATGTGTGGGTTATTCTCCTACCTTTCATCTCCTTTACTATATAACATGCTTCATAAACTTTGACTAATTACCTATAAATTAGGGTAGTGACTGTTGCATTTGTTGTTAACTAAAGACTAAAACCCATCTTTCTGTTTCCGCCTGTTTCATCAGTCGTCTACCGTATTTTCTTTATTTTTTTTTTCTTACTCTCTTTTGATTACCGGCTGCTCTGTCTCTTAGGGGCTAGCGTCTTAGTCACTATCCCCGAGCACCCATCCGTCTGTGGTAGGGCAAATGTGAAACCTACTCCTTCGGTCGCGCCACTTAGGTAGAGGTATGGGATTGAGCAGGGGCGAATTGAATAATAAACATATTATTAAATAACAATTTAATGATAAAATAAATAATAATTAATTTGGAAATGTTAAGCACATAGAGTTTTAGATATGGGCTATATAAATATACAATAATAATAATAATAATAATAGGTATATTAACACTAAATCAAAATGAGCTATAGCAGTCACTCCATAGAGTACATGTACCTCTGCCCTGTGAATAAATACAGTACCCACAATACGCTGGCCGTGTATGATGGGCAAAACTGCAGCATATAATCAAGGAAATAATGGAATCACCCATCATATTCAGGCACATTATTTTCTTGAGTGTTGCAGCATACCCTCATAAAAATAATGGAATCACCTATCATATTCACTGTTTTATTGAGTGCTGACTGAATACGCGAGGCAATTCCATTATTTTCTTTTATGCTCAAGGGTAACAGAAAAAAAAAACAAATTTCTGTGACCTTGACCATATCACTTGATCTTTTCTCCCGAAAACTGAATGGTGTCTTTCGTCAACTATTACTGTATTTCTTTATTTATTTCTTTATTTCAAAAAATTACTTGCAAATAACAGGATATCTTAAAATATCTTTTACAAGCATAAATATAAATAGACAAACACACAAAAAAGAAACAGGATCACAAGTCACACACACCCACACAAAAAAACTAATCCCCTACCAAAACCAAATCAGATCAATCATGTACAGTAAATGCATGCAAATGTAATTCATGTACCATTCCACTAAATTTTATGATGATCCATTCATTAGTTTTTGCGCCATCTTGCTAACAAACAGACAGACAGACAGCTGTGAATAAATAACCTCCTTGGTAAAGGTAATAAATAACTGATCATCCCTCACCTGCATAATATTGCCAGTACAGATGTCAGTACCAACATATCCCTGCTTACACCTGCATCCAGTTTGTCCGGGTGTAACCATGTAACACTCAGCATTGGGTTGACAAGCACTAGCATTAATCAACGTACATAGATCAACCAAGACACAAGTATGTTCATCACTTTGATGATAGTACACTCTACATTCACACTTACTCTGTAAACAAGAATAAATATTATTGAAGATATTCAGAAAACCAGAAAACAAAAGATACAAAGACATTAAATGGAGTTGAAAATGTGAATTTTCAGTCTAGTTGTGAAAACCTTTACAGATGGAGATTCAAGCAGTTCACAGTGCGGCAGCAGCAACTATGGTCTAGTGCTCCTTCTATTAATTCAAAAACATTATTTTATTTTCTACTCTGCCTATTAGTGTGTGTGTGTGTGTATCTGAAGTGGTTTGTCACTGCGGGAATGGTTTGGTTTCCCAACCTCGAGGTCAGGGTTTCAATTCCTCACTGGGCATTTCACTTGTGTCCTTGGGCAAGGCACTTTATCTGCATTGGTTCTCTCCACCAGGAATATAAGTGGGTACCTGGTAGGGTTAAATGCCAATATGCACTGATGTAGCTGCTGCAATATTATGGAATACTCCCTAGGGAGCTTTTATACACATCT